GGTCTATCATAATGCAAAATGTTGGCAATGGTTTCTCTATGGAACACAATCACAGAAAGTTTCTTTTGCTTTGTGATATTTTCAAAATATTATTTTATTTTGCTATATACAAAAAAAAACATTAAAAACTTATGGCAGATTTGCTGAATCAGCAAACAAAGCCTCTACATTAAGAAGTACATATCCACAGAGCAAGTCTCTGAATGAGAGCCATTAGATTTTCTATGAACTGACTGGAATAGAAAACACAATGCTTCCACAGGATGGCAAAAAAACAGGAGTCTTTCTTCATGCCATTGTATAGAGCCCTGTGTGGTGAGGGGTAATGAGCTGCCAATCCTTTTCCATGCAGGCTGAGGGGTGTGAGAACCTTCTGTCACCTGGAGTCTGTTGGCAGTGTACCTGTGCTGGGTATCTATCTTCTATCTGACTTTCGAGATCTACTCTCCCAGTTTAAGCACCCTATTCTGGCCCACATTTTCTAGCCTGAAGCATGGCATAAAGTGGCTTCCAGTCCTCTGACTTCTCCTTGGGTTTGGCCAATGGAGCAAATGGTGGGATGGCGGGAGACCACAGAGCAGAATAGGGTCAGGGTACTTATACACCTCCACCCCGGTCCATCCCAGGAGGTCACTGCAGCCCTCCACTGAAGGCCCCTGCTCCTGCTGGGCTCCTGTTAGGCCGTGCTTTCCATATGACTCAGCCTCCCTCTGAAGTTCTGAGTCTCCCAATAGCTTCTCTGACCCTCGCCCCTGTGGGAATAGCACTGCAAAAACCTCTCGCCATTACCAATCCCAGACTACTGCTTCATTCCTATTGCTTTTCCTAAACCCTGCCCACACCTCTGTAAACAGTCTCTAATAAACTCTCAGTCAAATCACCCAGTTTGAATGTTACCTGATTCCTAACAGGACCCTGTCTGATACAGTAATATCTGCAATTAAAGGAAAATAAGGCTAAGTGCATTTATACTTCACAAAAGGAAAAACGTGACCCAAGGTGGTTTAGAAATATTTTTCACTCAAGTTTGAGATGAAAAGTTTAGCCCTATGTCAACTCTGTGATTCAATGATTCTCTGATACCAACACTTTCTAGCTTTTTGTTTTAAAGACTTTAAAGAGTAAGTTATTAACCCTTATATAAACTCAGTACCTACAGGACAGTGTATTAGAAGAGGGATAGAACACTGATTATCTATTTCTCATGAGACAAACTGCTTTTGCCATAAATTTAAAGGTAGACATTTTGCTCTTGTACTGTTCACAGAACACCTTTTCACTTTGTTGTGAATGGGTTTTTCTTAGACCTGAGCTTCACAAGCTAATCCAGTTCACTGCACCCAGGTATTTCTGGTCTGCTCCACAGGAAAGTGGCAAGGACTCACATGTATTGATTAACCATTTAAGGGTGTGAGGAGTCCACTAAAAATTTTCTTCTGCAAAAGCAAGACCACCCATAAGCTTGTTTCAATAGCAAGCTCCTGTACTCAGAGGGGAAAAGACAATTCTGAGAAGATCATGGGGTCTGTCACCCAGATGGTCTCTAGTGCAATTCCAAGGAAAAGGTGAGGGGTGGATTCTCTTTTCACTCAAAAGTGCAGTGAGGCATTCCAAACACAAGGCAGACTTGCACTGGTAATAATGTAAGAAAGCACAGCACAAGAGACAGGAGTAAGTGGTTCTCACTCATATGAGCACAGCCATCCAGGCACAGCAGTGAGTTCACACCAGGGCCTTTTTGAATAGTGGAGGTGAACCCCAGCACCTGTGACAGTCCCTGACTGACAGCTCTGGCAGGTTCTGGTGCTTCTCTCAACTGGCACATCAACAAGGCTCCAAGAGCTCAGAGATTGGCAGCAGAACCTCCCTGGATGGTGGGCACGGTGTCATCGCAGTGGCATCAGAGGCTTTAGTGGGAGCCAAAGGCTTTAGCTGCCAAGGTAGTCACAGTGTCAGCAGCTACAGATGATGCTGATGGCTTTGGAAATGGCAAAAGAGAGCATCCTTGGCAATGGCACCAGCAACAGTGGCTACCTACCCTCATCTGGCTGAGGATTCAAGAAGCAGTAGTTTAAGGGGATAGCTTCTCTGATAACAGCTCCTTTTCTTTTTATCCTGAACAAAGGTGAGTTTATGGTATTAGGTGATATCTTAAGCCCTGAGGAAAAAAGATCATTGAATGATAAACTCTGAATAGAGGGAAATCCAAGCAGCAGCAAGTCCGAAGTGGCCTAGGGCAGCATAAGAACAGTGTGACACTCACGAAGAAAAACACTGTCTTTCCCATCTCTGCCAAGAAGTAGGCTTAGATGTCAACAGCTCAGAATTGCTATTGCACAACTGAAATATGAATGCTAGAGTCTTGACCTCCTATTCCACTAATTTAATGAATAATACACCCTGAGAAAAATAAAAGCACTGAAGGTATAAAAGCATAAGACTTCAAATACCTTGAAATATTTTGTATTGAATTTTTCTGTCTCTGTGATTCCTACAAAGTGGCAAATTTTGTGTGCTTCCCTAAGGCAGGAAAACCAGTAAAAATACCACAGAATGTGCTGTTATAAACCAAATGCTTCTAAGTTTCCAGTTTTCTCAACAACAGAGTTTAAGACAAAAACAAGGAAAATGTTAATGTCCTCAAGATTAGCAATAAATGACAACGCTAGTAGGATATGCTAGCATTGAGTAATTGGCCAAAAAACAAGTTTCCTGAGGCATAAGGTATCTTACTCTTCTTTGACACCCCCTCCCCCGCCCCACCAAAGCCAAAGTGTATCCACAGAGTAATGAACACCAACAAGGCTCCGAAGAAACTGAGCACCAGACGTAGGAGCACAGTAATTAAGCCATAGTACTGCCACTCATGGGAACCGTCCAGGGACCTAGATGACTAGATGAGGACTGGCCAGGGATTGGCCTGCCACTCTCTCTGCCACATGCTACCATCAGAGCCCACCTAGAATTATCATTATTTTCCTCTTCCTCCTTCATTTCCCCATCTCACCCAAAACCTTAGAGATCTCTGAGAACACATTTCATTATATTAAAGAAAAAACAAACAAACAAATGAGAAAGCCACAGACGAGGTAAATTACAGTGCTCCTCTGAGCTTCTGGAAATGGAAGAGGACAGAAGTGACAACTAGAAGTATAAACATGCCCAAAATACTGCCATGTATATCTTTCTCTACGCAGCAAGTTACAAGGAAGATTGCCCAGATACACTAGTAGGGATGAAACTAAGATCACCAATATGAGAACTCATAAGGTTCTGGTTTTTCACTAAAAGCAAACTTCAACACTTTTAATGTTCAAAATGGGCCAGATAATGAGAGAAATTATTTGGTAAGTGGTTCAATATTGCAATAAAAAGCATTCCAATTCTGGAAATTCAAACATAAGCAAGAAGACTGGAACAGCTATATTCATATTCACTAAGGATATGATAGTTTTCATTCTGTAAGTCAAGCACTGCAGGAAAAAAATGCTATGAAGCAGTTGACATCTTGAGGTAGTCAGACATATGCAATCGTGCAAATGGAGGCCAAAAACAATCAGGCTGCCAACTCGAGATTCACCTGTGTTCTCAATCACTGAAGTAATTTTATGATACTGCAGAAAACCCATATATTACTAAATTAACAAAACCTTGATCCACTTATGTCTATCAATGAGTAGAAATGAAAGAAGAACTTTTCTATAACCAGGTAAACTGACCTTAATATGCACACATACCTAAGACAACCAGCAAAACCCTGGGTTGGCCAAAAACTCCACTTAGTTGTTTTCCATAAAAGAAGAGACACATTTTTCATTTTCACCAATAAGTTTATTGATTTGGTGGATAGAGGCCAGGGGTGCTGCTAAACATCTTCCAATGCATAAGACAGCCCCACAGCAAAAGAATTATTTGGCCAAAATGTCAATAGTATCAAGAAACTTTGCAAATCACTTTTGACACATTCAATCAGTCACAGCACCTTCTCCATACACTGCACAAATCTTTTTTTGCATTTCAGTTGTACTTCTACCTTTCTTGAAGTAATTAAGTATAACATGCCAAAATGTTGCCTACTTCTTTCCATCTTCAGTATTAAAATGGCTGGATGAATTCACCAATTTTGATGGTTTTTTAAAAATTCATACTGATATGACAGCTGTCACAATACAATCTAACAAAATTATTTCAAATGAAATTAAAGACAACTAAGCACTACTAGAGACATCAAATAGAAGAAAATGAAATGAATTTTTTTGGCCAACCTAATGCAAGCCTATACAGGTAATCTCCAAATATCAGGATAACAGAAGTTTCATTCCAGACATACACAGACAAACATATATGCAAGTAAGATATACTATCCTTTCATTCTTCATTTCTTTTTAAAATTTCATGTGGACCTTTCACTTAACAGAGTAAAAATATCTACATTCCCACGCCATTTAGACATTCAAGCAAAGCTCCTGGGAAGGTTTCCAGAGAGTTAGGTTCCTTTAAAAATGGCCATGCATTAAATAAAGCTTTGTCTGACAAAGGTAAAAGAGTAACTGATATGGTATCTGTATGTTCACTCTGCACAAGGTTCCTGTAGCTCAAAAGCATTACTCAAAGACAAACAACAAATCAGATTACAGCTCCGAAGAGTCCTACTCTGCCTCTTCCAGCAACCCTGCCAGCTCACACATTAGAGAAGGCCAACCACCTGCTTCCTGAGGAATTTGTAATCTACCTTCTCCATCAGTTCCCCAAAGGGTCTCCTACTTTACACACGTGCCCCCCCTTCATTCATTCCAGTGCATTCACCTTTCATCTAGAAGAGATTCTTTAATGATAAGTGTGCAAGGGTTCATTTTAAAGGCACAACCAAAAAGAAAAGCCTTCAGTATTACACTTTATAAATGAAACAAAAACTCTAATTTTGAGAGTCTCCTGAATTGGAACTAAAAGCCGTAGCAGCAACAGATCCATGCTGGATACCTGGCCCGTTTTCTCATTACCTGCTTCAGTGTACTTCAGTCCCACTTTTTCTTCTGTGTCCTTTGTCTTTGGGGGTGGCCAGACAGCTTGGAGTCTGCCAGGAGTCCTGTCGTCCTGCTCAGTGGGGCTGTGGTCAGGCTGTTTAAAAAGTGGGCAGAGAAAAGAAGTTACATGAAATAGGATGAAAGCCAATTTTTCCCCCAAAACAAATATGCTCACTCTAAAATTAACAAAAATTAATATTAATGGCCAGTTGTGCATTGTGTTCAATGATCCTTTCCCAGAAATGCGAAGTGACCAGTGGAAGTGAAAATTAAAAACAATTCAAGGCCATAGGGGTGTAATTAATGTACAGCATGGTAACTACAGTTCAATAATATTTTTTTCAGTTTGAAAGTTATTAATAAAGTAAATTTTAAATGTCCTCATCACAAGAAAAAAATTTGTAATTCTGTATGGGGATACAGAGCCTTACTGTGGTAATTATTTTGCAATACATCCAAATGTCGAATCATGCCACACACCTGACACTAATACAGTGTTGTGTGTGGATTATACTTCAATAAAAAAACCCTCAAGGCCAAGTATTACACAAACCTTGATAGATGATTTTTATCATGTAACTATTTAAAAACTCACAAATACACTCTGAGCTGAAGATACAGATAGAAACTACAATCAGGTACATTTACAGGTATGTTTACAAGCATATCCCAAACAAGTCCAGGATTCTTTATGGTATAATGACTACTTGTGCATTTTCCATGAACATTAGCTGTAGGCCAAGACACTTCTCTGAGCATTCCACACTGCTATTTCAATTCTCGTTTTCTTTCCTATTAAAATAATAATAGTGAAATGGCTTTCTAATTCAAGCTATTTGTATCAGTTGATTTTTACAACTGATATTGTGCTATTGTTATATTGTGCTTAGCTTTTAACTACAATTCAAAATAATTTTTCAAAGGCTTTAAAATTTTTAGCATTTTAACTGGCTAAATATATAAAAGGGAATAGTTGTATTCTTAGTTGACACAAACCAAGAAATTCCACTCTTTTGTCCTTAGGAACCTTTAAAATCTACTGGACAAGTAGTCTCTATAATTACTGAATTAATTTTCTTTGAATAACAGCTTGTATTAGTTAGATAGTTACCATACACGAACTTCATTTAAGCTTCACAACCACCATATAAAATGAGGGTTATTTGTGTATTTTCTTCCTGAGGAGATTGAGGCTCAGAGATAATCAAGGTCACCCCAACAGTAAGTGGCATTATTAGAATTTAAATTCAGGTCTCATTATAAATCCAGTGCTCAATCAGAATGCCTTGTAACCAACAGGGAACATTTAAATTACATCACAAACAAGTATTCCATCTGCCAAATAGTAGGCGTACGTACAAAGGAGAAATACTTTTCACCAAGGTATATAATTAAGTGGTGAGGAAATCTGGGCTATGTTTCCAGAATGCATCGCATCCTCATGCTGCTTAGTTTTTGTGAGAACATTTACTGTTAATGTTTAAACTTGGACTGACAGTTTTTGTGAGAACATTTACTGTTAATGTTTAAACTTGGTCTCCTCTCCCATCAGCACATATTTACATATATCTCTCTTATAACAATCCATAAAAACATAAGGAAGAAAGAAAACACTTCTGTCCCACTCCATACTCCTTACAAGGGCAACTTCAATATAATCATCTTTCACCTAAAAGACAGTCATTAACAATAGGTGATGGGATTCACTTTGACAGGAAACCTCAGAAGAAATACAGCAGCAGCACATTTTATGACAAAACGCAAAACCCAATTCTACATACGCTTTTGGAATCTGAAGGGCCGTCTGCCGGTCTTGACTTGGACCGTTCAAACACAGCTCTTAATGACTCCTTCTCATGCCTCATCTTGCGCTTGAGAGCTTCAAGCTCAGAGGTATCAGCTGTGGTCCCCTTTTTGGGGGGACGGATGAACAGGGCCTTAAAGGCCTCCAGGGCGGTTTCTGGTGGCTTTGGCTTGACCTCTCCACCCTGGGCTGGGGCTTCCCCGGGGCTGCTCTGGCTCTCCTGGGCAGCACTGCAGCCCATCTCTTCTGCCCGGGGCGGCTCAGGGTCTTCTGCCTTCAGTTCTGCTCTGGGCATGTCAATGTTGAGTAGCTGGGAGAGCTGCTCCAGGAGAGTGGGAGTGGCCTTCAGATCACTTGTTTTCTCCCCAGTCTTCTTCACTGTCTGTGGCACTGTCTGTACTAATGACTTGTGAACAGGCTGGGTCAATTTGAGCAAAGCCAAGTCCCCATCCTTTGGTTTAATTTCTGTGATGGTCTCCCCACCTTCAGCTGGAGCCCCCTTTTTTAGCACACGAAGCCCACTAAAAAAAGCTGGAAGCTGGAATGACCTCTCTCCGGGGACTTCTTTTTTAGGAGGGGTGTTCTCGGTGACACCAGCACTTAAGCTCTGGTCCGTTATCACAGGTAGAACTTGGGAGCCTTCTTCTCCCGCTTGTACCTGGTCAGGGCTGTGCTCCGTCTGAGGACCACCATCACCAGGTTCTGGCGTGCCACATTTCTCAGGGGGAGTCCCTTGAGGATCTTCTGCACCCAGCTCTGCGTCATCCCTTTCCCTAGTGGCAATATTTTCCCTACAATCTCCTGGCTTTTCTTTGGGCTTCTCAGATGGCTTAGATAAAACAATACCAGGGGACTTTGGGCCATTGGTGTTGCTTTCCTCTTCTGGCTCCTGCTCACCATCATCAGAGTCAGAATCACTGGTGGTGTTCACGAGGGTCCCACGAACCAAAAGGACATCACCTGTGCTCAAAGCAGTGAGTGGAAGAAGCTCTTGACCAGGGAGAGAAATCCCTGCCTCTGCTTTCCTCTGACTTCCCTCTGACTCCATCTCTGTCTCCACCCTCGCAGGCTCCCCTTCATTTCTGAGGTCAGGTGGTCCCGGAGCCTCTGCCTCCTGCTGATCCGAGCAGTGGCTGGCATCATCCCTCCGAGGGGAGGGATCCACCACTACAGTGTGGAACGCTTTCAGCACCACAACTTCTTCTTCAGGCTTCACAGGTTCCAATTTACTTGTAAACCCAAACAGGGATTTCATGGAGAACTTGCTCAGGATCGACTGAGCCATGTCAGGTCCAGCTTCAGATTTGTCTGGTTCCGAGACATCACTGCCATTCACAGAGTTATCACCGTCCTCCATGTCTCGGAGCAATGCCCTCAGTGGAAGTTCTGACTTGTGTTACCTTCCCCTGCTCTCAGTTTATCCACTCCATCAGCTCTTCACTTACAGGACAGAGAGCAACAGAAGCCAGGCGGCCAGACTCCCTGGCCGCAGAGCCAGCACTCTCAGTCTCCTTCGGGTCAGTCACCACGGTGCTCTCCTTCCGGTCTGTGGGTCTGTGCGACGAGGGTGCGCCCAGGGCAGCTGCAAAAAGTCCGAGGAGCTTTGTGCCCCGAGGCAGCGCAGCGAGGCTGAGCACCTTACTACACACAGACTCGGGACGCTGCTCCTCTGGGACTTCCGCATTTATTCCCGTGGACAAAAGGCTTTTTGTCGTAAGGAAAGTCAGCCTGTCCCAGTCATCCCAGCCCAGGACTTTACCACAGCTCCGCCCCAGTGCCTGTCTTTCTCCTGGTTGCTTTCAACTTTCTCATTGGTGAGCAAGTGAGACTCCAGAAGTGCTGAGCCGGCAAGCCGATCCTGACAACCCTCCACCACCCCCGGAGCAGTCCAAGAAATTCAAAAGTGAATCAGCAGAAAATGACTGAAATACTTCTTACGGGCCCTGCTTTGCCATCTAACTTATGGTCAGAAGCCTGGGTCATCCAGGCCAAAAAAAAAAAAAGAAAAACTAGCAGAGCACACAGATCAACAGACACTCACAAAGCCCAAAGCAAAGAAATTAAAGTACAGAAAGAAACAGATGACCTCAAAATGCCTGGAAGGCAAAAGCAGCTAACTTACTGCCCTTGAATTTTTTTTTAAGTGCTTTCTTCCGCTTCCCTGCAGGTTTCATCTGGAATGCAGATTTTAGTTGTGGGACCAGAGAAGGAAAACCAACAGGACTGGTTTCAGATTACTGCTGTTTTAGCTCTGCCCTGATGTCTCAGTGCTACGCAAACAGGTACTTCGCCAAGCACACCCACCACGCCTGTATCCACCAGCCTTAGGGCGGCAGAGTAAACTGCCCCAGCCCAGCAGGAGTGATTACCCTGCACGCTCCCTGCCAACCTCGGGCTTCTTCAGCAGCTCTGACTTCCTGGCTTTTTTAGGAATCCTGAAAGCCAAAGGGCACCTCTCTCTGCTTCATTGATCTAACCAACTAAATGTAACCTGGCAATGGTACAAGGTAACACACAACCTGCCTTGTTAGGCAAGGTAATTCATCAAAGGTCCCTAAAGAGCCACATTCCCCTAAGGGACAAAATATCTGAAAGGTCTCTATCAGTTGGGTCTCTATCACAGACCCAATTTGTCTAAAACAAAAACGGGACAGACAAATCAACCACCAGCTCAAAGTAGTTCCCAGTACTCTGTTTATATGCTGGGAACCTGGCAACTGAGGTGGTGGAAAAATTGCAGTCCTGTTTCCCAGCTGTCTGGTTGCCTCTTGGGACAGCTTCCTGTTGTACCTGAGGGTCTCAGTGTTTCTCTTTCAAATCCTGTCCAGTTGGCAGGCATTCAGTGAGCACCTGGGCACTGTGCTGGGTGAGGAAAGTCAAACGGGCTTAATAGTTATCAGGGTTTAATAGTAACCAGGGTTTAATAGTAATCACTGGCTCTCTTTGAGCACTACTGTGAGAAGATTGACCCCAATGTTAAATACAAAAGGCAATTTATTCAGCAAACAGAAGTTGTTGCCACAAGCAAAAGGACAGCCTTACCTTCTCTGTAGCAGAGAATGGCTGCGGGTCCCACACTGAAAACTTGTAACATGTTTCCCAATAAATATTAATGCTGAGAAATTCTGATTGCAATAACACATTTCTAGCAATGTATCCAAAAGGACCCCTCGTATAAAAAAAAGGGTTCATAATATAATATATTCCATCAATCCCTATGGGAAAGTGAAGACAGTACTCCCTAATCCCTGGTTTGACCTTGTGTCTAAATAGATACTTTCCTGTTGGCTGCTGATCCTAGTATATGTTGGAACTATCAACTATGGCACACAGGATCAAAAAAGGGAACCACACATGCAGAATATTCATTGGTGCCACTTAACTCTCAGAACAAGCTTCCTGTCTAGAGGAAATGTGCATTGATAAAATCTGACTTCCGCTTCTTCAAGCCTGAGGAAAGAAGGAATCATCACACCAGCTTATTCATAAGATCAGTCTTCTATGATAATATACCAGTGAGGGGAGGAGACATGCATATATTTGGTGTTTTCTTTCTCAAACTGAGAAAGCTCCATTTTCTCAGACATACCTAATTACTGATTTCCAGAATATATTTCAAGAACCCTCAGGAGATTTGGGCAACATGGGACATAAACTGGAAAGACTTGTTGGCCCTTCTACACTACAATATGGAGCAGAATTATAAAGTCTCAGAATCCTCTCAATAACCACAATGCCAATACATCATGGAAAGTGAGACAAGTCTTGGGTCTCAGGAGATGATTTGATTCTAGCACCTCAAGGTGGGTAAGTTAATTTTAGGTTCACTTTAAAAGTGAAGCAACCATGGCCAAGAGAACATAACTGCCCCAGGTTGCACAGCTAATGAGCGGAGAATGGTAATGGTATCTAACATTTATTAGGTGTTTACTATGTGCCAAGCACTGTTCTATATTGACTGATTGATACACATAACTATGAGGTTGAGATTATTCTTTTCCTATTTAGTAGGAAGCACAGCCAAATAAAGTGATTTCCCCAGGTTCACAGCATTGGTGAGTGGTAAAGTTAGAACTTGAATCCAGTCAGTAAGACTCCAAAATCCACACTCTTAACCACTCTTCTAAAACCTTGACTTCTGCCTCCTGCCAAAATCAGATGACACACACACCTGAGCTAAGAAGTGTGAAGATGTGTCAGCCTACGTGGTTGGTGGTCTCAGCCGGACATGTGATATACTCCACTCTCTGAGATGCCAAAGAAGACTGACCTCACAAAAAACTTAATGAGAATGAGCATTCTTTTTTAAAAAAGATTTCATTGATTTATTTTTTAGAGAGGGGAAGGGAGGGAGAAAGAGAAACATCGATGTGTGGTTCCCTTTCACATGCCCCCTACTGGGGACCTGGCCCACAGCCCAGGCATGTGCCCTGACTGGGAATGGAACCTGTAACCTTTTGCTTCGCAGACTGGTACTCAGTCCACTGAGCCACAACATCCAGGTTAAGAATGGCCATTCTTTTCCTTTGTTGTAATTTAGGAAAAAATCTAGAGGGGCTGCTTAGAAAAATTAAGCAAAATTTCCTAGTGGGCTTTTCTGTTGCTCGCAGTCAACACATAGAGTTCTCTGGACTCAAACACAGAAAGCTTTTCAGCCTGTCCATGTAGCTACCCTTTATTCACAAGTGGGCTCCTATCACAATGATGTATTCACTCAACAATCATTATTAAGCACCAACTGTGTATAAAGCTCCAGGGATATAAAGATGAAAAAACTCCAGCCCTCCAAGAGCTTCATGAAATGTGTAGCTTAGTAGGGGAAAGCAGCCAAGAAAGAGGTGACTCTGTTCACAGGCTATAACCAAGTACTTCAAATTCCAGACCCAGTCTGAACAACAATAGGTGGACCTAAAACAATTCTGAATGAAAGCAAGCAGTGACCCCCTCAGTATGAAGATGAATAAGAAGGAACAGCAAGGTAGTTCAAACAGGTCTTGAACACTGACACTCCTTCTGGTTCTCATGACCATGAAAAATATTACTATTTCTGGTCATTTAGGGAATTAAAACATGTTTCAGACTATAATATTCAAATAAACTACCTACAAATTTGATCTCAGTTGCCTTGAAAAGTGGTTCTATTTAATGCTGTAATATTTATAGGGTGGGGAGAGAGTGCCATATTTTGCCATGTATAATGTGCACCCACATTTTTGTGCACATTATACACAGGGTTATTATACCCATAGTATGTAATCATTATACCCTTCTATAAGATGCACCCTTATTTTTCCCCTCACAAATTTGGGCAAAAAATGTTCATTGTACATGGCAAAATATGGTAGTCACTTTTCTTAGATGTAAATAACATCTCATTGTCTTATTCTGTTACTAAGCACCTACTACCCAAAACAAGGATAGCTAAGACTGTCACCTGTATAACATTACCTGATTTTCTTTTGTTCTAATCTCAAGCTCTCTAATAGTTACACTTGAGCAGAAGACCAAATAAAAAATGATCTGCCTCAGACAGCTAAGTTCAAACAGGCATGATAAATAATTAGGTAGCATTTGACCCACATGGTGTTCTTTGTAATTATTTCTTAAAGAAACGATCAGCGCCAGCTACTTGAAAATGGAATGTAGTATCTACTTGGGTGGAGAGTTTACTACCAGTGAATTTTGTTTCTCCTGTCCATCTCACTACCCTCTCAGGTTGAGGCTGCAGCCAACGGTACCTCATGGCAATAAGAACATCAGTCCAACAAAGAGACACCTGGTAAATTAAGTCTAAGAAAAAGTGATTCACACAAAAAGACACATCACCTCATGGGAGCAGTAGAACCTAGCTCCTTGACTCTCACAAGATTAATCAGCATTAAAAACTTAAAAAAAATCAATTTGCAGAAGTTGGAAGATGCCTAAAAGGAAAACTTCCTAGAACCACTTCCCCTTACTCTGTGTGGCCTTCCCCCGTATTGTTCAGCTTAGATAATTCCCTCCCACATTCTCGAAAGACCCCAGAAAGGCAAGGGAAAAGTAAAGCAAATGAGATTACATTTCACAGAGTCAGGTTACTTAATTCCCATGTTATCCAATTTATTCAAGGTCTGGGCCTGATCTGAATGACTGCTTGCTTCCACCTTCCTAAAGTGCTTCAACTAAGTTCATGTGATGATTGCTTGAGACAGCAAGTGGAAAGTGGAGTTAAAATTAGTAAGAGTAAGTAAAAGTGTAGAATTTATTTCTGTGAAAAATGAAAGTTTAGAGCAAAAGACTGGGAAAAGTAAATAAACTATGAACAATGGTATGAGTGGGGTAATGGGTGGAGATGGGTTTGGGGGGTTCAGGAAGAGTGTTTTAACTTATTCAAATGAAGTTGAGATCTAAGAAAACTATGACATCACCAGTACTCCAAAAGGCATTTAAATGAATGAGGTGCGTAGGTTATGGAAGAACATGGGTAGAATCGAATTGTTGGGAGCCTGAATGGGAAACTTCAGAAATATTAGAAATCAATAAGCTCAACCCTCTTATTTTAAAGAGGAAGGTGTCTGAAGTCAAGAGAAGCTGAACAACTGGCACCAGTTCACACTGTGCAAGCGCAGCAGCAAGGTCGAGATGGGTGTCCTAACTTCCACCCACCCCACCTCACACCCCTACTGCTGCCTTGGCAGTGATCTTACCTTCTTCCTGAACAGCATCCTCTTTATGCTCATTTTCCACATCTTCAAAACAGAGTTATAAAGCCAAATAAAAGACAAAGCCAGAAACCTCCCTAGGCTGCCCCTTCTACTTTAGTTTTGTAACAGGCGCCCTGCCTTGCCAGTGGGGCTTGCCCCTGCCAGCTAACACAATGCTTAATACAGCCCTTCTGCACCGGCCTATCAGAAGCCAGCAATGTTTCTACTAATTGGTTAAAAAAGAAAACAGGCTGCACTTGCCTACTGTAAAAACAGGTCTCTGTGATTAAGACCTCCTTCTCCTGAGCAGTAGCAAGTATTCTGTGGAAATGCGTTGAATGTAGGTAATAAACTGGAAGACTCGAAGGGAGAGGAGAGGCTGTGGGGAAGCTGGAAGACAGAAGAGAGCGCTGGATCTGAGATCTCTCAACAATCAAGGAGCATAGGGCAGTTGCAGGGTTAAGATCCTGTCCCTGGGTCCTGGGGTTACATCCTACACTGCTCCA